CCTTCCTCCTCCTCCTATTTTCCCCACAACAACAACCCTGTGAAGTGAGTTGGGCTGAGAGAGAGTGACTGGTCCAAAGTCACCAGCTGGCTTCACGCCTAAGGTGAGACTAGAACTCACACGTTGGGCTAAATGCAGCCAGGTGAATTATAATAAAAATGGACACAATCAGGCTGCATGTGGGATCAAGAATATCTCATGACCTAGGCATCTCAACGTTAACAAATACTACTGCTAACCTTTCACTAAAGAGTCTATGAAGGTAGAGCCTTCAAAAATCTAATCAAACCCTTCTGAGTATCTGATTTCTGCATAGCCCAGCGTATCTCTGCTTTCACCTAGAGGAGTATCATCAACACTGCCAGACTCCATCTCCGAAGTTTTGTCAGATCGCACGATATAAACTACTACGAGAGGCAACAGTTTTAATCACCCAAACGGGTCACAACTAATTCAGCCGGAATAAGCAACTAGGAATGCTTCGTGCGCATAAGCAAGGTTTTCATCTTTCCTCTTTTACAGGAACCGAGTGGGGAGGTGACACTGGACGTCCTGCCTTCCCATTCCACACGTACATTCGTTTCTCCCTACGTTGCACGGACTCTTTTCCTTTACATCCGGTCCCGAAATGAACTTCCTTGTGTTACCTTCTGCAAATTTACCGGGAAGTCCACCCCATCGCGCCTCGTGGGACTTCCTCCCGGGCAGAATCCCCCCCGAGGGGATTAAGCTGACCCGGGCCGCGCTTGCCTTGCCTTCCCGCTTCTCGGTGAGCAGCGGCAAGAACTGTCGGGAGGGGCAAACGCCCCCGAGTACCGTGGGGCGGACCGAGAGCCGTCTGCGGCTGACCCGAGAACCGCCCTTCCTCCGCCAGCTCTTTTTCAGAGCTACAGCGACCGACGACGGCCCCGAGGCCCCTCAAACTTCAGGCCCCGCCCATAAAGCAGCTGCTAGAGAGTCCAAACCGGCGGAGGAGACCAGCACAAGCGCCTCCCACCAAAGGACTACGAGCCCCATAGTGCTCTGCGATACAGTCTCATGAGGAGAGTTTCCAAGTGGGAGGAGGAATGGAAGGAGCTGTTCCCGCCCCACTGTTGCACGATGGGAACCGTAGTTTCAAAACCAACGGATGAAAGAAGCAGCCTGGTGGGCTCCTTACGGGATCGCTGTCTCCTAAAGCGGGAGTAGGCGGGGCGGCTCGACCTCCTTTCGGGGCCGCCATCTTGTACCCCAGCGTGACTCTTTCCCTACCCCTCCCACGTTGCCTCACTCCGTCCGGTGCGCCGAAAGAGGGAGCTGGGGAGGCTCTTGTGGTAACAGCGGTGGATGCAGCGCGTGGCTTGAATGGAGGCAGCTGGAAGCGCCCAGGTGGAAAAGAGCCAAATCCAGGAGTGGGTAAGCAGCAAGTGAGGGGAGCCGGGATAATGGCTCCTCATTTTCCCTGGTTTTATGCATCCGCCCACTGCTGTCTTCTGTCCTTCTCTTTCTCTTCCTCCATTTCTGCAGTCACTTCCCTCGTCCCTTCTCCCAGTTCCATGTTAGATGAAAGTTATCTTAAGAAGAAGCACCGGATCAAAAATTTAGTCCTGTAGTAGATCTTTCAGTATTAGATTTGGGCTCCAAAAAGCTGGACGACCGCGAAATGCTGTACTTCCAAGAGATTAGAAAATCTGACCTGTATCCCTCCAGACAGCAGGGCTTCTCCTAGCCAAGCGTGACAACGATTGCATTCTTACACTCTTCCCTCCGTCAGTATTGCCAGCTCCTCATGTCCCTTTGAAAAAGGTCTCTGTCCCCTGATTTTCACCCCTGCCTCCCAGCCTTGCAATTTCACCTGCAACTTTCATCTCCTGAACAGGATCTTCTTCTCTTTCCTCTTCTAGTCGTATGAGAAATGTCCAAAGGCGAAGTGGGGGAGGGGGGGATGATTTTAAAAAAGGAACAAAAGCAAAGTTGGAAAAAGAGATGACTGTTCCGTGTGCAGCTGCGGTTTGCACATCTTGTAAGAGTGCCTCTCAACAAGAAGCACAAAGCAACTGCTGATGGTGTTGATACTCTTGCCATTGACGTCTTGCCTAGGACAGTCACAGATTAGCCGGTGCCCATTTCTCCCTCCCACCATTCTTTAAGGAAATTATAACAATAGGTTCTTTCTCTTTTTTGGGGTGACATCACTGGAATCTGTAGTCAAGGGATGAAGAGAAATCATTATGAGCTCAGGACCTGGTGCTGTTGCCTGTTGGGGTGGGCAGTCATGTCTGTGGATAACAATAATTAGATTGATTTTAAGTACCAGAGATGCACTTATTAAAACATATGTATTGAGTTATTTTATAATCACCGCGGTCTCTACATATGGCAATCCACAATGCAATGAAATTACAATACAAATGCATATAACTTCCATAATATAAAATTAAAACTATAAAATAAAAGCAAACAACAAGAACAAGTGAGTTGTATCAATTCATCTTCCAAAGACTCTCCAAAAATGAAAGCTAAAAGTACAGGGGCCAATCTGATTTCCAGTGGGAGCCTGTTTCATGGATCATAAGCCTTCACTTCTCTAAGATTAATATAAAAGTTGGGCTCTGAAACCTGATGTAAAGTTAATTGATTGTATAACTTCATCAGCAAAAAGAACAAAGGGCCTTGTTACATTTTAAAGTCTGTCAGTTTAATGTGGAATAATCTAAATTACAAGTATATAGTAGGTCAGGGAATTGTAGACACTTAATCTAAATATATTTGATCTGTAAATTAGACTGTATAGTCATGGCAGACATGTCTCTTTAATTTTTAATGCATCCTGCTGTAATACAATTTTGTATTATATACTGTAGTACAAATTCCTGGTAAAGTTTTATCTTTAGATCAGAAGGCAAGTATTAGAGGCTATGACAGGGCCTGTGCTCTATGTTGACCTGAACATCTACATTTGCTTTGCAGCATAGTTTATTTATGAATGCACTGTTCTTGGCTGTAAAGTTTATTTGCTACATGCTATACAGTAGAACCCCAAACACAGGATATGATAGTACCCACACTTTTGATTTCATAAGGAAGGATTGTACTGTAATTCATAAAATAAAATACTTAAGTAATGCTTTATTTTTAAAGCAGAAATGAAAAAGAGACCAGGAGCATCAAAATGCCAATCAAGCATCCAGCCGTCCTCCATCTAAGCAGATTTTTGTTGTGTAATCTTGAGTGTACAAGGAGGCAATTATTCAGACTACTGCATACCTTAAAAAAGGCAAAGATGCACTCAAGTTGAGCTTGACTCCTAGTGATTACACAGACACATCCATGCAGTTTTTTAACAGTAGAATGGAAATGTTTTGCCACTGCTTTTTTCTGTGAAGTTTTTCAACTTCCCAGTCTAGCCTATAACCCGGATACTTTTCCTGGTGACTTCCATTCCAAGTACCTATTAATATAGGTTCAAACATACTTAACTCCCAAGCTCAAACAAAATTACCAAATGGTTATCACATTCTGAGGCATTAAATTTCTTACATAGGTCTAAAATTAGTGTATGTGTGTATAGTGGTTAAGGTGTTTATGTAATACTAGGGATACCCATGTTCAAATCCACTTCCAGCTATGGAAACTGTCTAAAGCTTTTTGTTATATAAAAGCATCAGAGAGAAAATACTCTGAATGTGGTCTTAATCTCCTGGATGAAATGTGGGGCAGAAATCTATGTAACAACAACAATAATAACAACAATAACAAATCTACAGTGATAGTCTGTAGCCTGGTTTTTACATAATGCTACTCTATAATGTGGTTTATTTGTTTCTGAGTTAGTATGATATGCAAATCTATCCCAGGAAAGAATCTATAGGTTACAAATTATAGAGGATAATTCACATATTATGCTAGACCAAAACCAAACCACTCTATGGCTTAATATTGTATGCAAATCAAACAATTTTTAATGTGAACTATTCATTACTAATTTCATAATAAGGAGATAAATTGTTCATTTGAAGATCAGCATGTCTTTTTCAAGTGAACAGAAGGTTAGGCAGAAGATGGACTCTCTGGAAAATCAGCTAATGCAGAAAGATGGCATATGTTACTCAAAGTCATTCAATTGGACCAGCCTTCTTGCATTGAAAAATTGGCATCAGAAAGCAAATATGGGTGCCCATCTGTAAAAAGTGTAAGGCTGGTAAGGAGTAAGGGCCCTTTTGATACTAAGTTCCACTAGGGATACAAAAATCTGGATGACCACTAAATGACAGCAGAGAGATACAGAAAGCTCTTGCTGCCATTTAGTGGCCATCCCACTTTTTGCAATTAAAATTAGATGGCCTTTGGAGCACTACTCAGAATGATATGTGTCAGGCCCACCACTGCTGTAAAAGTGCCACTGGTTTATCGCCACTTGAAGAAACTGTTGGTAGAAAGCATTTGTCTTATAATCTAACATGTATTGCTGTACTGTTTACTCCTTATTCTGCTGTTTAATCTTGGCTGCTCAAATCCAGTCCTAAAAAGGATTATGAATATTCATAGAGTTTATAGACAGTTGTTCTCTCTCTCTTTCTGCTTTCTTTCTCTCTCAACATACCCATCACACACACACACACACACTCAAATTCAAGCCCCTGTTGTGCTCTGAAGCAATTATTGTAATGAAGTAGTACATAGAACTGGACTGTTTGAGACAAAAAGCTTTGTGGTTAGTATCTCACATGTTCTCTGAAGAATCCTATGATGTTAGATAAAGTCCATTGTATGTCTTGTTCTCAAAAATATTAAGCGTATGGCTTGGGAAAAAAGGTTCTAGATTAAGGTCAAGGTGCAAGCCTGAGCAAGTTGCCTAATATATTGCTGCACATATTATTGATAATGCAACATTTAAATAATGTATGATGCATTCAGACCAGTTACAACAGAGCTATTTTATATAGGTCGCTTGGAGTAACCTAAGTGCAAGGAGTACACCGTTGTTTCTTTTGGACAAAATAATTACATCTATAAAGATACAATATTTGAAGTAAAAGGCGGAGGTTTATGGCACTATTAACAAAATAGTAGTAGTCAATAAACCCATATCATGTTGATGCTATAGAAGGGTACTTAAAGAAAGTCAGCTAGTCATAGTAGATTCTAAAGGGTATATTTAAGAATGTTTCAAATACAGTTATAAGGTGCCAAATATCAAAGAAAACAAATATTTCCTGCAAATGTTTAATTTTAATAAGAATGGTAAATGCTTTATCTTTAGGGGGAAAGTTTTTCATAGAACATGTATTCCCTCAAATATTATTTGTCTAAGATGATTAGGGCCTTAAATTTTGGGTAGAAAGTGATAAATACATTCTCTCATGTGTTTTTGAATTTAAGCAGTGCTTTTCTTTAAAAATGTAGTACAATATATAGCATCTTTTCTGCAGTCCCAGGTATACCCACAATTGTACAACCAAACTGCCAGAATTGGGCTGTCACATTTTTTTTCAATTAAAATAGTTGGATTAATCCTCCAGTTGGCTTACCACATCTTTGTTACTTCAGATAAAAACCCTCAATACAATACAAAAAAAGATTGGCTTTCCCTTCTATTTGCTTTGTCCTTACCACGTCTTTTCATGGACAATCAGTATGTTCTGTTATCAAAGTCTGAGTAGAAAAACAATATGAAATCATATGCACTAACAAATTTACTTCAAAATAAGTCATTGACTTCTATAATATTTATTAATCTATAAAATGCTACAAGATCCTTCCGTAAAACATAGTGTTATACTTCAATATTGACAAGTAAAGTTTTTAAATTATAGTACTAAATGGTTTCTTTGCCTCCTTAGGCTGGCACATGCTGAGGAACTTGGGAGTGACTAAAAATAGGGTTTGTATAATAGAGATAGCTTTAAAATAACAGTGGTGCATAATATTCAGCCAGTACTTTGTGTGGTACAATGAAGCATTTACTCAGTATGGTATTTGTCAATTTGTTTCTTACTTGCCCTTGGTTTACCAAATGTTTAGAAAAGCTTGTCCATATTTTCTATAAATCAAACTAGGTAAGTTCAAACTAGAACTTACTTCCTTGTGAGCTAGTTTAAGACTAAATATTGCAGTTCAGACTGATTGGATTCACCCATTGTGGTAAGACCTAATGTGGTTTGTTTGATATAGTGTGTTGTGTGAACCAACCAATTGTGTTTTATTCAGTAAAGGTGCTTGAGCAGGCCATTGCTTAGTGTGAATCAACCTATTGATTTTAAAGCAGGATTTCTTTGGGCTGATATTTTGCTAGATTAGATTATTTTGAACAATGTCATACAGCATGGCTGTGAAACAGTTGGGATTAGATCTCTAAAAGGTGCTACTGTACAGTCATATTCCCATGTGCTCCAATGGAACTTTTGGAGATAACA